GTCAGCAATGCTTGGGTTACTGTCTCTTTTGCTATGTTGAAAGTGTATTATTAATGTGTTTATTTGCTTGTTTTACCTATAATGCATTTTAATTCCTCATTGTTTGTCATAGATTGAATTGTGTGCCTCCAAAATATATGGCACCTTGACTGGGCCATGATTATCAATGGTTTGACAGTTAAGTAATGTGTTAAGTAATGTAATGTGGCAATCATGTGATCAGCCTTGACTGAATGTAGTTATCTTACATGTTGTAAATCCTTACTCCTATGACATTCTTAAGGATGCAATAAGCAGGATTAAGTTTTATGTTGAGCCATTCTATTTTGAGATGTAAAAGAGATTAAACAGGCAATCAGAGCTCAGAGGGACTTACTACCACCAAGAAAGAAAAACTAAAATGGAGTATGTCCTTTGGACCTCTAGTCCCTGCACTGTGAAGCTTTTCGATTCAGAGGAAGATTGACGCCTAGATGCATGGAGAGCTTCAGGAAATGTTGGGCTTACAGGTGCTGAAAGGAGAACTTTTTTACAGAGCCAAGAAAGAGAGAAACGTAGATTAGAGCTGATGCTCTAATCTGTGAGTGCACCATCTTGGAAGGGGATCATGCAGCCCAGTCAAATTGTTATATGACAGCAGACCCTGCAGACATCATGACCTTTCACATTCTCTGAGCCAGAACCACCTAGCTATGCTACTCCCAAACTCTTGACCCACAGTCACTCTGTGGGATAATAAATGGTTATAATTGTTTTAAAACAAAAATCCATAAAGAGAGTAAGAAGAAAAAGCTACAAAGTGGGGAAAAAATGTATGCAACATCTAAGCACTAACAAAGGATCTGTATTCAGAGTAGATAAGAACTCATGTAAAGAATAAGTAAAAGATAATGGTTTGTTGTTGTTAAATGCCTCAAGTCAGCTCTGGCTCATAGCAACCCTGTATAGGGTTTCTGAGGAGCACTTAGCGGGTTTGAACAGCAGACCTGTGGCTCGCAGTCCAATGCTGATCCTACAACACTGTCTAGTCCTAATCCTACAACAATAGAAAAATGGACAAAAGACATATAAACACACATTTTTCAGACGAGGAAATTCAAATGATCCCTATGCATAAGGAAAGATACGTTCCTCAAAATCTCTGTGCCAGACTCTTTGTAGTAATCTAAGAAATGTAAATTAACTCCTACCCTTCAGGTTAATAGACATTTAAAAATTTGATACAATTAAATGTTACCTAAGCACTGGACTGCTAACCTCAAGGTCAGCAGTTCAAACCCACCAGCTACTCCTTGGAAACCCTATGCAGGGTGGCTGTGAGCCATAACTAACTGAACAACAACAAAAAATAGAATAATAGGAATTTACATTTCTGTTGCTGTTTAGGATATAAATTGATACCACTAGTTAGGAAACAATTTGTCATTACGTAGTCAAATTGAACTTGTAAAAGAAAACAAAACTAAATCGGACAGCTTGCTGTTGAGTCAGTTCCAACTCACAATGATCCCATAGGACAGAGAGGAGCGGCTTCCCAGGTTTCGAGATTATAAATCTTTACAGAAGCAGACTGTCTCATCTGTATGCCACAGAACTGCTGATGAGTTCCAACCCCTGACCTTTTGGTTAGCAGCTGGGCACTTAATCACATACCCTTCCACCACCACCACCCACTGCTGTGAAGTTGCTTCACTGCAACTCCATAGGACAGAGTAGAACGGCCCTGAAGGGTTTCTAAGGCAGCCTCCCAGGGCTTCCAAAGCTATAAATCTTGAAGAAAGCAGGCTGTATACCTTTCTTCCTTGTAGAAGCTGGTAGGTTCAAACTATCAACCTTTTGGTTAATAGTTGAGAGTGCTTTAACCATGGTGCCACCATGACTCCTCTACCACATTCCCTACCACCTAGCAATTCCACTTCTTAATGTACACCTTAGAAAGCCTCTGATACATACATATCAGAAGATTCATTCCAGAATGATCAAAGTCGTACTGTTTATGGTCACAGAAAAATAGGAGCAGCACATATTTCCAACTATAGCAGAATGCATTTGAAATTATGGTTTATTCCCACAGTAAAATATCTAACAGTGAAATGAATGATTTTCAGCTATACACATCAATTTGGAATACTCTCCAGAACATGACATTGGATTAAAAAAAAGAACAAGTTACAGAAGAATGCTCTATGTTTCCATTTATACACAAAGACAAGTAACTCTAAACAACATATTGTTCTGGGATGTATGCATGCATTAAAATGGTAGCAAAAAAGAAGGGTAATGGTTCTCATAAAATTTAGTAATGGTTACCTCTGAAGGTGAAGAAGGGAAGGAAGGTATAATCAATTTAGGAACCTCTAGCTCATTGTTAATTTTCCCATTTCTTACATTATTTGGT